TTGTGGGGTAATTATCCGCGAGTAAGCATTCATTGGTTCATTCGAGTTATGCATACATACCATGTAGAACCGTTAGGTAATCCGTACTTTAGGTACCTAGGTAACTAGACAATCACGTGGTCCCGGGTCTGTAAGGTAGGTTGTTCGAAAGCCGCGTTTGGTTCAAGTTCAAGTTCAAGTTCAGCTGGTTTAGCTTCATACTCTATCGAGGCTCGACAGGTTCGGCAACGACAACTCTCTATATTCCCCGAGCCCAGTTATTTCTCTTTTATCAACCCATTTATAGATATTCAATAATGACATCCATCATGGCCGAATCAGAGAGCGCGCCTAAGTTTGCCCCCTTCTTCGGCATGGTAAGCTTAATATTCCATCCATCACTTCCGTTGACTTGAAAGCTCCCTTAATTTAAGTACCAGTACTAACAGTATCCTCGACAATGTAGGCCGGTATTGCGTCCGCCATGATCTTCGGAAGTACGATCCCCGAATAGCGCATCGTCCCCTAATTATACCACATACTAAGACAATAACAATATAGGCATCGGGGCAGCATATGGAACAGCAAAGTCAGGAATCGGTATCGCAGGCGTGGGTACCTTCAGGCCAGACTTGATCATGAAGGTTTGTCAGAGCATAGTCCAGTTCACTCCAAGCTGGTTTCCCTTGCTGTAGCAACTGGCTTTCTAATATGACGACTATTGTAGTGTCTGATTCCCGTTGTCATGTCCGGAATTATCGCAGTTTACTCGCTTGTCATCGCCGTCCTAATCGCCGGAGACATGGATCCACCGTCACGACAGAGCTACAGCTTATTTACGTACGTCCCGAATACCATGTTTGAACGAATAGGAAAGCTCGGATAAAACTAATGTCTAAAATAGGGGCTTCATGCATCTAGGATGTGGACTCGCGGTCGGATTCACGGGCCTGGCTGCTGGATACTGCATCGGAATTGTTGGTGACATGGGGGTCCGCGCGTACATGGATCAGTCGAGAATATTTGTTGGCATGGTTCTGATCCTTATTTTCGGCGAAGTCCTGGGACTCTATGGGTAAGTCTAGACCTCTGCGACATGACAAAATAACCTTACTCACCATACATAGTCTCATTGTGGCCCTTATTCTCAACACCAAGAGCAAGGGCTAAGCTATTCGAACTCGAGCGGTACCATATATTTCATAATGGTCATCAAGTGTTCGCGTAAAGAAGCATCAACAAACTCAGTCTGTAAAGACAAAGTGTAATCAGTAGCTACGTGGTCGACGGCGTTTCACGGGTATGTAGAACTATGTAAGGGTAACCATTAGAATCGTTGACGGCTTGCAGGTCAATATTCGGTCAGATGTACGACCAAGGCCTCCATTGATGAATAAGATATTTTGAACTACAAGCAGGAGATTCTTCATAAACAAGATTCTTCGAATTCGTGTTAAATTGATGCTAAATAGGAGTTGGCTAGCTATTGCAGAGCCCAAAGGAATGCGGAAAGAAATGGACAATCAATCTCCTCGCGACATATCTCGTGACCTCATCCATTCGTCCACATGGACATCCTCAATGTCGAAACCCAATCAGAAAAAATATGCCCTCTGAACCTTTCTAGCATGCCTAACCGACGCCAAAACGGTAGCGCCGCCCAAATGCGTGTGATGAAGAGACGAAACAAAATAAAGCGCCAAAAGGAACGGAAAGAAGCGTAACGCAGCCATTACCAGTTCTAGCTGCGGTTTCCTCTCCAGGGGAGATGGAAAGCCCATAATCGCAATAAAGATTGCAACAGAAATAATTCCCATGTGACAGGTTCAACAGGTTGTTCATCGACCAAAGCGGCGAGCGAGCCTCCCACGACTCTCGATGTTAGTGCGAAAACTGCTCCAACTTCGCTCACGTTCCTCTGCACCTCTTGTCTGACCTAATGATTTGGAAATGTTAGCACTCAAAGCTTCAATATCGTGTTAACCAAAATCCAGTGCGCCTCATTAGCTGGGGGTTTCCATCATGTACAAAAATACATCATCAAAGCTAAAAGTTTCGAAAACCTACCTAGAAACCAATCCCAGTGCCTGTCCTCGCGGACCAGAATATCATCCCCATTCTGTCTTGCTAGTCTCTCGCTTCTCGCCTTCGCAGCTGCTTCCTCTCCAACCAGGTACGGATCTTCGAGAGGTCGCACCTTATAGGGGTCAGCATCGTCGGCCGCTGCTACCGCATTCATACGTTGGACCGCCGACCGGAGGGCGGTTTCGACTCCTCCCCAGTGAGATCCATTCGCAGCGGATACACGGCGGTGGGCAACCCTTTGATAGTGGCGAGCTGTCGGGTTGCTGCTCATTGAGGACCAGCTCGGGACTTGAAAGTGGCCGAGGTGTGGTACCTCGCTACGGCGGCGCGGAGAGGGTATCCGTGGTAAACCCGCTCCCGGCGCAAATGTTGAAGTCATGGGAGTTGGCGTTGGCGATGGGTTCAGCATGGACGTGTACCGTGGCGGCGATGCCAGCGGCGAGCCTCGCGGCTCCGGTGGTGTGTACTCGGGTACATTTTCGTTGGTAGGTATCGTTGAGTGATACGAAGGCGCTTCGGACACTATAGCAAGCCTCTTTGTTAGCTCTTCTTACCATACGTTTAATATCGGTGAAAGAAGTGCCTCACTATAAGAGGGGGCGGCTGAACGAATAGAAGCCGTCTCAAAATCCTCGGCGCTGAGAATTTCCAAACGGGACGGCCCGTTATGGATAACTGTTTCGGTTGCCATCGTATAGACCAAAAAAATTAAATATCGCAAGCGAAGGTGATGGAGTGGTGAGTTATTAGGGAGGTAGGTTCGGTGAGAGCCCTTCGCACATCTGGTCGAATAGCTCCCTTATTATTTAGGCCTAACACTCAGTGTGAGAGCCAATATATTGGAATTTATCAATGAAGCGGAAAATCGCAACCATGAGATTATGGCAGATAACGACTTGAGACAAGATAGCTTTATCCGAAGGGGGCTGGGCTAGGAATGACAGCTTGACTTAAACAAAAGACCAAGGTCCAATATAGGTTAGGGTTCACAATGACGAAGACTAGTCACGACGAAAGCGAGCACACCACCACTCAGCTTCGTTCTCCAGGTACGTATGTAGGCAAGTAGGGTTCAAGCTAGAGAAAGCTTCAAGATGTAGATGAAGTGTGGTGTGAAGGTGTGATATGTATGTATGAGATGTATGCAGTGTATGCACACGTGAGAGTTGCAGAAGAAGAACTGCTAAGTGCTAAGATTAGGTAGGGATGGTATGGAAGGACAAGAACGGGAACGGGGAACGGAGTGAGGCACACAACCATCCACCACCCACCACCCACCACGATGGATGGGGTTTACATATGCAAGATGCTACTGGCCCCGTTCCGTCTCACTCTTGGTCTCGCTGTCGTGCTACCTTCTATCCAGGGCCGAGCTGCGTCACGAATAGACAACCCGTGGAACCTGCGAGCCCCGGTTATGTTTCTCCGTACAGTAGTACTAAAAGAGGTAGTTCGTGGAGTTCCTGGAGTTCGTACATAGAGAAGAGGATACGATCAATGGAGATATTTACCTAGGTAAGTACCCAATTTGCCGATACCCGAATGCTTGGGGGAGAGGGGAATACGCAAGTTACCTACCTAATGTTAGCAGGCAGGTAGGTTAGGTACATGTCGCTGGGTATTAAGTTGGACAAGTCACAACGGAGAGGAGCAAGTGCCCGATATTACGACTACAGTACACAAGAATTACGACAGTTCAGCAGTCCCCACTATACCTATTTTGGTAGGCAACTGTCCATATGATTGGCTATACCTTATCTTATCATCCCTATACTACCCCGGTCACAGATAATGATTGGGTGAGGGGTATTGTGACTAAAGCTAAACGGAGTCTTGTGTACATACATAACCTAGTGTAGAACAGTTGACTGTCTTATGTATTATGTATTATCTTGACCGCAACGAGAGAAGTCTCCTTGTCAGGGCGAGACCAGCGGGGTCTATCCGGCGCAGATTGTCGCGATGTAGCGGGGTATTTGCCTAGGTAAGTAGAGCTCTAAGACAGGGGTATAAACATCATTACTGTCACTTGGACAATAATACCGCATTTTTCTATTCAGGGCTGAGAATGACGATATCGTACGGATCTGTGAGAATAATATCATTTATTTCCTGAACGGTTACATCAGTTGATCGCCAATAAATCTCGTTATCTGTTTATAACCGTACAGTATGTATGTAGTGTAAGGCTAGGTACCTACATATATATAATAATTATCCACTTCTGAGAATTGACGACTCGGAGCTTTGGTGTTCCTGGCTAGATCTTCGCCTGCATGTCCTAGCAATGCACAACGGCCCGCCTAGAAACCTGCTCGGCCATGATTGGGAAGGGAACCGAGACAGCTCAGCATTTTCACGGGAGCTCGTGATTATCATTCTATACGAGACATCAGCACAAATCAACAGTGAAAGAGAGGTAAATAAGACACATATCTCTTCAGCTGTCTAATATTAAAACACGAGCCTTATAATGCTTGGTTATATAATCTATTTGTTTTCATTATAGGTAAACCCGGAGTTTATAGCCTACCGATACAGGTATACACCCATCATCCTATGCATAAGAAACAAGAAAGTAGGTTGGAATATGGGTTTTATGGCGAACCACGTCTTAACCCCTTGACTGGCATTCGACTACACCTCCACTATTTTCAGTATTGATACCAATGATATTTACGGTTTGTACTAATTATCGAACGTTTCCCTATTATGTTAATGAACGACGTCAAGTCTTATGTATTAATACTGAAATAATGAAAGTATAGTTGAATGCCAAGTCAAGGGGATAGCTAGGTATTACATCACTTAAAGCCCAAGTATCACCATTTTTATTATATCATTACGTCGTTGTTATTCATTTTTAAACCTGCATACCGAATGTTTAACTCTTAAAATTGATAACCTTTATATGTAATGGATTTTCCATGTCTCCGGCAAAAGATTCAGTTATCTTCGTTGCGAAGCCGAGTATGCCGTAGTAGTTTAACTAGCTATAGCACAGCCTCACAAAATTTACTACTGCCATTAGGTTGGCGGGTCTGAGCTACATAGTATTAGATCGAGACGAACCATCTCGGCAGTAACCTTAAGACCGCCTACGTGCATCTATCGGTCTATTGGTGGTCGCCCATCCGCCCCAGATCCTACCCGGAGTCGATGTCCTTATCTGGCAGTCAATCACCTGCAGCCCTCGCGTGAGACTTGATTCGCAACCCTCAGAGATTCAAAGTTCTTGATCGGGTGCAGATGACACTGCTTCACTGCAACCCCTAAAGGCACAGTTTATATAGACGAGTCAGAATAGTGTTGAACCTCGAAGCAAATAATTTCAACAAAAAGAATTCTCAGCTTCACTTATCACACCAGCCTCAACACATTGTTTCTGTTATGTTATACCTCTCAAGACCCTGCTTGTTCATGAGGCAAAAAGACCCGCCTGCGTTATAACCGAGTAACCCTAGCCGTTGTCCCATAAACTATTCGTACAGATCCTACGTTACCCGTCCCTTTATCATTATATACCGTGCCCAAAATCCACCAGGTTAGATCTTATCCGAAAACCAGCCCCCGGATTTCCCAAAGAGCCCAAGTCCCACCAATCCCAATGCGTGCCTATATAAACAGTAGCAAGTAAATAGCAGCTTTTAGAGAGTAGCAGAACAGAACAGTCAAGTAAAACTACCATAGTCGTCGTTGATAGTATACTCGCTCCTGGCCTTCCGACAACCGTCGTATCTCTTCTTTAATCTTCCGTCTCCTCTCAGCTCTACTGACTGGCTTCTCCTCGAGCTTTTTCTTGGGTGTAGGCTCCTCCACAGCGTCCGGCGTTCCCACAAATGCCCCAGCAGCAGCGTCGTCTTTCTCCGACGCTGCCGACTCTTCCCACTCTGGTTTTTCTAGCTCCTCCTCCGGCACAGTATGCCGCACAGTGACGACATCTTCCTCCTCTGCGCTATATTTCTTACGGCGGTGCCGTAGTCGTGAATCGTTTATCGTGTCCTCGAGTTGGCTAGGCGCGTCGTGGTGTTCTGGGAAGTAGACTTTGGGACTCGGTCGAGGTATCCGGTTGGGTTTGATGGCTGCTCGTAGGTCGCGCAGTGTTCGCTGCTGGATTGTATAGCCGCTGAGAAACAAGGCTGCCGTGAATAAGACAACTAGAAAGAAAGAAAAAAAGGCAGATCATTGTCAGTTTGACCGTTGGAACTATTTTAGGCTGTTTACCCGTTTTGGAGGGGCTCATCCGTACCAATTCCTGACGAAATTACCACCGAGACCTGCGACGATGTCAAAAGCATTCTTGTTCGAAATTATAAGAGATCGATATATATAGATAGGTAGGTATCTATAGATATGAAAGCTCAGAAATACAAAGCTAGATGAAAATAGTAGCTTATGAAGCGATATACAATAAGTTAAACGCTTCTGAAGTGTTGGCTAAGAACCATCTTTTGAGAACGGGTTTCCTGTTTTGTCTCGAGTCTCGTGTTTCCCGGGCAACGCACAGCAACGCTCTCGGCCGGGGTACCGACTTGGCGATCTGATCCGATCCCGATTGTAGATCATATGGTAACACCCTTGCGACGAACTTTTTATATACCTACGCCTGGTAAGTTGACGATTAGGTGTTACTTACAGGTAGGTAGGAGCTTGATAAATTGTATTTTGTAAATATTTCATATTTGGTGCACCTAATACGATTTGTCAAACTTCATCAAGACATTGGATTCGCCGAGGTCATACTCTTCGCGTACTCCGTTGGACAACAGCTCAGCTATGGCTGACCTACTACGTAGTATCGTGTCAAGTGCAACTTTGCATATGCCGACTATCCGATTCCCGGTACCATTATATTATCAGACAGCCATCGTTGGTACGCACGCGGGAGAGAGATGTGTCAATTGATGCCATCTTGTCGAAACTGGCACTTCGCACTGCAGTCTCCTGAAGCTGGAACCCCTCATTGCATAACTAAAACTTCAAATTTCACCCTTTCCTCCTTATTCGAGGGAATAGACCACCTTCTCCATACTAACCAGCCGCATATAATCTTCAGTCCGCGTACTCGCTGTTCGATCGCTTACCAGCAGTGAGCCAATCAGTTGAAATCCGTCCGGCACAATCCTCTCGAGACCTCCTGGCATCATCCGTATAGGGTTCGGCTCCAGCATGACTTCACCCTTCTCAAGGCCCGATCCTAAGTACTGGAATAACTTGTCTGCCAGCTTCCGCGCTCTCGGGCTTGCTAGTATTTTGAATCTTGTATAATGACATTGCTTAGCAAGGTAGCTCTGTGTAGGGCAAGAACAGGGGAACGAGAATAAAATAATTGCCAAAAAAACTCAATATCAGCGCCGAAACACTCCCGCGAGGCACCGTAAAGTGTCTCAGCACGAATATTGCTCAAGTCTAAACATCCGGACTCTTCTGAGCGGAATCTAGCAAGTCTGCCGCCCTTCGATCCGAACGCACTGTCTACCTTATGAACCGTATCTCCTTCCGAAATACAGTTCAAAGCAATTTCTACTCCTTTACTACCCGTAGCGACGCGGATTTTCTCAGGCCAATTCACATCTTGATAATCAACAAGCACACCATAGCTATACGGCTTCTGCTTCAGGAGAGTGTGTCTAGAGGGGCTAGCGGTACCGATTAGGAGAAATAGTATTCCCGGTCGTCCGCTTAACCAGATTAATTACCTGTGCCAAATATTAAGCCAAGAGGAGTGCTCGAGCCATATATGAGGACGTTGACCGGGCCATCTTCTGGCTTGCGATCGTCGAAGGCGTCTCCCTTTCTTAGGTCTGTCCCAAAAGGACTAGGGATCCCCAGGGGACCGAAGATAGTCTGAGCTGCGGTTAGGCCGTTTACGGTAATTGAAGAAGCTTGTTCAAAGCTCAGTTGGTTTGGTCCCTTGCATCGTCAACCTAGAATGATAAGTTATAACTATGGGGATCTATGAGGTTAGACTTCATGTTTGTCAGTGCTCGACAGCGCTAAAGCAGATTATCAGTTGGAAAGATTGCTATATTGTCCAAGTTCTCAGTGTAGGTACCTCTACCTAACATGGAAATTCGAAGATTGGCGTAGTCCCAACGCTCCTATGTAGATTCCAATTTCTTGATATTGCCAACACGCCGAATATAACCCCCTTTTAGATGCGCTCGAACCCCAGTCAAATGAGGATATTCCCCTAGGTACCTCCTAATAATACATCTGAGATTAGGTACATTTTAGCTTCCTTTTCGCTCAAGCCCTCAGTTATACAGCATCGTACTTGACGTCTATCCGCGTATCCTTCACGATTATTAGTTTGCGGTCCGAGGAGTCATCAGAATCACTATTGTCATCGCACAACTCTGGGCGCGACTGAGGCCCTGCTTGGCAGGTTGTTACTAGCGAGCCACTTCGGCCTGTCCGCTTTATGCTTCCGAGCCGTATGGGGCGGGCCGCGGCATCAGGGGCTGCAGGGAGTGCTTGCCTGCCGTTGAAAAGGTCGAAATTAGAACCCCTATTAGCTTGAAGCTCGTAGGTCGGATTCTTGCTATTTGAGCTAAGCCCGAAGCCGTATCTTGTGAGCAGCGGCCGGAGCGGCGGGAGAGAGCCCGCGATAATGCCAACGCCGCACTCGACAATGGACCAAACCATTATACGACACCCCTTATCTATATAGTTGTTAGTTGTTAATGTACGGGTACAGGGCGCGTAAAGATATTAGATGTAACATACAGAGACCATCGCGAGGGGTTTTTTCAACGTGTACATACATGCGTACATATGGTACTCGAACGCATGTGCATATACTGGCCCTGTAGTAGATATAAATCATGTGTTAGTCCGACTCTATGATAATATAAGACAACTCTTAGAGGATAGGACGACATACAAAACCCCAAGAGATAGAACAAATATAAGCGATGCCTTGACTCTTGGCTTCATATTTAAGTTCCACAGAATAAGCGCAGGAAAGATCGCACATAGCCAGTCAGTTGCGATGATTATAATCGACATAGTGAGAGACATCTTGCCGACTAATTCGAGCCCGCTACAGTCGGCATGCCCTCCCTCCCAGGCGACGCTAATGGGCTTGCATTGGCCTATCACAGTTCCAAAACCTATGGCTGACCCGATGCCGCCAAGAATTATAATAAACCATAAAGGGATAACGTAGCGCTTGGCTGAAGTGATCCGTAGGAGAGCGACGCAAATACTAGTCTTGATAAACGGAAGACACACCATATAGGATGCCTCATAGACGAAGATCCCTAGAAGACCGAATACTGGTTAGTTCCCCAACGGCGAGGTTATGTTGTAATATAGCTGAAAGTATTAATAACTTACATCTTAGCCCGTTCTTCTTTATTTGACCCGTCGGATCTACTTTAGACATGACATCGTCCTTTGCGCCCCAACCTGATAAGCAGCCCAGGATAACCGCAATGCTGCAGAAAATATAGAGAGCCTGTAGCAAAACGATTACACCATTGGTTAGCGTTGAGAAACGTCAATATCCTCGTAATTATCCCTAGAGATCAGCTAGAAACTTACGAGAGATATCACCGTCAAGTAGTCATCGCAGCCGATAGCCCCTTTCTTAGCTCTGACCCAGATTCGCAAGGGGACGATGATGCAAGAGAAGACACCTAGGATTATGGTAGCGGCCAGCGTTCCAGCACCGAGTCCTTTCGATAAATAGATCGTAGAGGGGTTTGCCATGTTGTCTTTAATTCCAAGCCCAAGGCGCCGAAGCTGGTAAGATCCACAATCCTAAGAGGCGGATTAGAGGTCCTCTATATATAGAAATATTTCAATGCCTCAATCTCGAGCAAATATTATGGATGGACCTGTTTTCACGCATGTTTTTAGTTGATACAGTTGTTCTTGTCTTGGAATATAGCAACCACGAACAGGTAGCCATGATAACCCTGCTTACATTCGGTTATGAATTCTTTTGCTTGCCGAAGAAGACCACACTTGGGCAGTCTTGTCGGCCTATAAGAAGCGAGAACGACTGTGTCCAGAACCGGTTCTGGGGGAACGAGTGTAATTCGTCACGTAAACATAAATATTTTATTATCAAAAATGGGCGTTGAAGAAAACGCAATGACTTCAGAGACCCTCAAGTTTAAGCATGAGAGGGTAAACATATGTTACCGTTGTATCAGCCGCATGGACTCGGCTCGGATCTTAGTCCCCGAGCTTGGATATGCCCGTTTGTACAAATTGTCGTCGATACCGATTAGGGTTAACCGGTATGAGGCATGTTAGTTCGAGGATCCTCTACTATGGCTCTAGTGTATATCTCTCTTGTTTGCATATCCGAATGGGACACCGGATGGGGCATCCGGTCCCGGGACAGAGGACGCGACAAGGTTCAAGTTATTACTTGTGGTTTAGCTCTCTCCGATGCGGAATCAAAGCACTGGTCTGCTATCTACTATTTAGAAATTAACCCCGCGATCAGATTCCAACACGCTCAGGGATATTACATGTTTAAGCCGAAGCAAGAATGACCCCCTACGTTAGGTCGACAATACCTACCTATATGATACGCACTGACCCGAATGTAAGGGAGGCGAGAGGAATGTGGAATATTGATTAAACGAACTTAGTTTGGAAGATTAACTATGATCTAAAATACAAACGGCCCTGTCTAGTACTAAATCTTATCCGATAGAGTGGTGAGTAGACAATGGATATCGATCCAGATGAGGGTTATAGCCCTGTGGTTGGAGTCCTACTGGCCCCGACGATCTTCTCCAGATGCCAGCCGTAATTGCCACGCGACGATAGCCGCCATCAAGTCTTCTAACCGAAGCTGTTGTGGAACGCTAGATACTCTATCCCATTCGCTTATATCCCGCGAGAGCGATATTCTTTGGAGTACAGGGATATCACTAATACTTAGCCGCGATCAAGTCTGGGACCTATCATCTAACTTCGTTCCTTATTGATTAATAAAGGGGGCCTAGCCAATGTTTTCCTCCACGAGTCAAGGCGTTGAATTTATATAGATACCTACCTACCTAGGTACCTAGACGTAGAAGATATCAAAGCTTCTAACCACCCATGTAACATAACATCTACAGGAGTTCGCAAGTGTTTCCTTACATAAAAGTTTCTTTCTCCAAACGGACTATAGTCTACGCCATGGGTATGCAAGAACTCAAATGACCCTACTCTAGAAGCAAGGCATAAGTCGATTTGCCATCCTGTGAAACTTGGACCAATATAACGTGATCAGGTTCCCATTCTCGAAGTCTCTCCCGTGCCCCAACGACAAATTCTCATGCTGCCCTATTAGCGGAGCCCCTTAGCACGGGAATGAAAGTTTTTTTTTTTGAACGCCGATTTTGTGGATATAAGAGGGCCGGTATTGTTTGCGAGGGTTCCACACGGATGTTGTAACACAATGTTAAAGAGTATACGATCAACCTAGGCCTGAGCGCTCAACATACCCATCTACGTAAAATACTAATCCGAGAGGCCATAAAATCTCGATCGATGAGTACGTAATATCAGTCAAAGCGTTCGGTGGAGGAACTTTATACTACGGGGTTATACTATGGATCATTTCCTTGCCAGTGTATAGAGGATGGTTACATTTAGCTCACTTGTTCTTGAAGTTTTCAAGTGGCACGATCCTTGCTACCTCATAATTTCACATGAAGGTTGTATTTCAACTTTAATCATAAATAATTGTCCAATAATATTGTAACCCTCTTGCCTAGCAAACCAGGTGTTTGGGCTCGATAACATGGTGAAAATGAGGAGATAATCTCTAGTATTGGACAGGTGATGACATGGGTCATTGAGCTTATTGAACCTGTAATAGGATACGGGGAGGTTATTCCGTGTTGCTGTCCCTTGACAAAGTTTAGTTTTCCTTTTCTAGAACCGTTTCCTTCCCTTAGCCCCTAACCCCCTTTTTATGAGAAAGGATTCTTAGATAATGCCACTTCTCTGTGTTTTATGATATAATAGGATTTTATTATTATTATTAGTGGGACACTTTAGGAAGCTTAGGTCCTACGAAGACTCGCGCGAGAAGACTGACGTCGCCGTATAATGTCTACAAATTCAACTTGTCTGCTGGGTTGTCTATCATTTCCAAAGGTTAACAAGCTTTCAAGAGTACCTACCTCCTAAGGTAGCAGGAATCCCTAGAATCCCTAGAACCATAAACCTATGTTAATTAGATAGCCTAGGTAGTGTCAGAAATCTCTTAGATATACTCATTAGTTGCTCGCGGAATTGTTTCTCTTATTGTCTAGGTTGACTTAGGAGAGTATGAAGAATACTAGGAGGAGCCCTAGTTTCCTGTATTTGGTGAGACGCGTAGCAATATTCTCTAAGAAGAGCGGCTAATCTTTTCCATCGGATTACTTGCTACCTCACGATGGAGGCTCATTGGATCGGAGACCAGAGATACAGTAATTACTAGGTAGTTGAGTGATTTTAGTAAAACTGTTCGTAGGGCTGAAAGCCGAGGTCCCTGAAAGCTTTATGCTTAGCCCCCGTATTCCGTATGTACAATACCTCATTAGGTATCTTATCGATAAAAGCTAACTACGAGATAGCTAGCTAGGTAACCGATAAGAGAGTATTATCGATTAGAACAGCAACAATTCAGCTTGTCCACCCGCTTCTCGACTCTGGACCTACGTACCTAACATTAATTGTATCTTGCAAGTGGCCTTTTAGCCATCAAACTACATCATCCAATTTTACAACCTCCCCCTTAACCACCCCCCTCACACCGAAAACCATGGGCTCCAACACCCACCGCGCCGACGAGCGGCGCTTCCTCGACGAGCGCGGCTCCAACGCCGCCCTCGCGCCCAACGGGCTCAACCCCGCCACCATCATGGAAAAAGCCGTACGCGAGCGCATCGTCGACAGCTACTTCTGGAAAGAGCAATGTTTCGGCGTCAACGAAGCCGACATCGTCGACCGCGTCGTCGACCACGTCTCCTTCATCGGCGGCACCTACGGCGGGAACCAGAAGCCGAGCCCGTTTCTATGTCTGGCCTTCAAATTACTACAGCTGGCGCCCGACGACGCCGTCCTCGGAGAGTATCTACGCTACGGAGGGGACCGCTTCAAGTACCTGCGCGCGCTGGCTTGTTTCTACGTGCGGCTGACGCGACGCGCCGAGGCCGTGTATACGATTCTGGAGCCCTTCCTCGAGGACAAGCGGAAGTTACGGCGGAAGGGGCGCGCGGGCACGAGTCTGACGTATGTGGATCAGTTCGTCGACGACCTATTAACGAAGGACCGCGTCTGCGCTACGAGTTTGTGGCAGATGCCGAAGCGCGAGGTCCTCGAGGACTTGGAGTTGCTAGAACCGAGGACCAGCCCGCTTGGCGACATTGAGGATTTATTGGAGGATGAGGATGTGGATATGAATGGCGATACTAATGGAGACGCGAGGGCGGATAGTGACGATGAGGGGTTAATCGAGGAGGGAGAGCAGCTTTCGGATAGGGGCCGTAGGAGATCGACTTCCGGGTCAAGCGGGAGGGGAGACTCGAGGTCCCGTGGTAGAGACCGATCGCGAAGTGGTATGGATGTTGATTCGAGTGGTGAATCTGGTAGGGATGACCGATGAGAGAATACGACTACGAGGAGTTACGCGCTTGGCCCTAGAGATAGGGCCGTACAAAATACTGCCAAATATTACGGCCACTTGGAATGCAAATTTGCTCTATATTCATGTTATGAGCAGATGGTAAGAGTTAGAAGAGATCTTGGTTTAAAGTCTATGGGGTATTATATCATACAGATTCTCTCTAACCCTATGTTCATCGGCAAGCTCCATTCCGATCAGGGAGATGAGACGTATTATCTAGTCTCTAGCATTGGGTTGGTCGGAACTCAAAAGAGGGGTTGCTGCAATATACGGGGCGCGAGAACGTCGGCCACGGAGAGCAGTCGCGCATCATCCCAATACTGCCCAACGAGCTGCATGCCTCCAAAGCTTAGAAGTTTTTGTTCTTCCTTGGCTGGATCAACGGGGATATCCATGGGAATACTGATGGCGGGCAACCCGGCAAGGCTAGCTGGAACGGTGAAGACATCGTTCATGTAGGAATCCAGGGGTGTCTGTCTCATAACGTCCTCGAGCAAGGGCGGAGTCGTAGGTGCGGTGGGACACAGAAGAAAATCGACTTGGGTGGGGCCAAACTTGTTTTCTAGCTGTATTGTATCTTCCATTTCGCTGAGATCGAAAGGTTGTTGGTCCTCGAGCGGGTTTGATAGTTTGAAGATGCGATCGAAGTCTCTTCTGACGAGCCGACGGACTTTCTGGGCTTGTATGAAATAGTTGTCTATAGCCTCTGAGCTGAGCGTGTACGACCCTAGCACGATGCGACGCTTTACTTCGCTTCCAAAGCCGGTTTCTCTTGTCTTTGCATATAAGATGCCTTCGAAAGAATCACTAGCTTGTTCGCTATTCCTTTGACCGTAACGAATGCCATCGTACTTGGCAAGGTTGGATGCTGCCTCGGCCGGTGCTATCACGTAATAGGCAGAGAGCGCATTTTTTGTAGAGGGTAATGATACCGGAACGACACGGCCCCCCAATTGTTCGATCTTTTGGGCTGCTATCAACCAGCCTTGTCGTATGCGCGGGTCGAGCTCCTCGATGTTGTATTCTATCGGGATGCCGAATGTCAAGCCCTGTATTGCGCCATTCCGGACTGGATTCCAGGAATCGTAGCCTCTTCGCTCTGCGGTGCATCTTTGGCGCACGTGAGAAGGCAAAGACGTTGGGTCATTAGGATCATGTTCTAGGTAGAGCCCTTGCCCTACGATGGCCGTGCCTATAGGACCCACGGTTCTAGCAAGTAATCCAACCGTATCTAGGGAGTTTGCGTAGGGCACGACGCCCCAACGGGACAACATGCCATACGACGGTTTGAACCCCACGGTGCCGGTATATGCGGCCGGCATGCGAACAGATCCTCCCGTGTCAGTGCCGAGAGCTAATTCGGCGTCTCCTTTCCTTATGGCGACGGCACTTCCCCCAGAGCTGCCTCCGGCTGAGTACTTTTCTAGGCCGCAAACATTGTGGATATCCTCAAATGCGGATGTCGTAGAATGTGTGCCCATGCCAAATTCATCCATACCGGCCTTGGCTGTCACAGCTGCGCCCCTCTGCCTTAATTGCTTGACTATGGTGGCATCGAAGGGAACCTTGTTCCCTGTAAGAATGTTGGACGCACATGTTGTCGAAAACCCCAGGGCAGAAATATTATCCTTGACTGCGAGGCGGATTGTCTGCCCGTTGCCTTCAATAGGTGGTTCGTTCCTAATCGAGGGGTCCGTATTTGCAGCGGCTTGCTGGAGAAAGCGGCGCTGTGTAATGGCGGCCCTCCATTGCGAAGAGATCACCCTACGGGTGGCTCTGATTTGGGAATGCCTGACATATGTAGACATGTGGTCCCAGAGATATTCGGCATTCTAAGCTGGTGTTATTTTATATGTTAGTTTACGTCCTTTGGCGGGTTTGAAGCGAGTTTCTTGTACGGTGTTTGTTATCGATAAGGTTAATATAATGCGGGCAGGCGGGCTAGTACAGGCAGTACAGGTACCGAATCCGCTATCTTTGACGCTAAAGCGGTGGATCCGCATCTGTACCTACCGTGTAGCTTTATCGGTTGCAGGAGAGCTCCAGCTGTTACCGGTGACGCAACTTAAAGCTTGGCAGGTACCCGGACGGTCAACAGTCTCTTACCTATCAGCTCCCACTGTCCCGTCCATGTACAATACATAGGCTGCGTTCTTAGGCTGACAACTCACATGTACTACCACTCAACACTGGACCTCTGCATTGGACACAGGCACCTACATAAGTTAAGGTTGCCTTTTACATGTCTGTTACATATCCCTGAGTCTTGACGGGCTATGGGCATAAGTTGTATCACTAAATAAATCAAACATGATCCCAAGGATTATCCTCGTCGCGTCCCTGGCGACAGTCGCTAGATCCTCTCAGCCTGGAGCTCCCGCGCCGGTCGCTGCTCCGATGAGAGATCTCGAATGGGGACAAATCAATTTCATCCATACCACAGATATACACGGCTGGCTTGGTGGTCATCTGCAAGAGTGAGATACATATACATACCTAACGTAAATATTAGTTGACCGACTATTGTATTGCTAACATTGTTTACCGCCAGACCGCAATACTCAGCCGACTGGGGTGACTACATCTCATTTACGAGTCATATGAAAAAGAAGGCCGATGAGAAGGGCGTAGATTTACTAGTCATCGATACGGGCGATAGGATCGAAGGAAACGGCTTATACGATGCCTCCAATCCGAAAGGCAAATACTCCTATGACATCTTCGGCGAGCAAACTGTCGATGCTCTCTGCACTGGGAACCACGAGCTATACCAAGAATATTCGGTCGCGCGAGAGCACAACACAACGGTTCCAAAATTCAAGCACTCCTACATCGCCTCCAACCTCGACTACATTGAGCCCGAGACCGGCAACCAGATCCCCCAGGCCCAACGTTACATCAAGTTCACTACCAAGAACCTCGGTTACAATGTCGTCGCGTTGGGGTTCCTGTTCAACTTTGATCGGAATGCGAACAATAGCGTCGTGCAGCCCGTCGAAGAGACTATGAAGGAGGAGTGGTTCCAAAACGCTATAAGAGAAAAGCCCGATCTATTCCTCGTCATCGGCCACGTCGGTCTTCGTATGAAGGAGTTCGAACAGATCTTCAAGGTCATTAGAGACCAGAACTGGTACACTCCCATCGCATTCCTCGGTGGCCACGCCCACGTACGAGATGCGAGGAAGTTTGATGATAAGGCATACGCAATCGCTAGCGGTCGATATTTCGAAACCATCGGATTCTTGTCTATTGACGGTATCAAGAAGAAGAGCGGAAGCGGATTTTCGGCTGAAGCAGCAACCGTCAACTTCAAGAGGCGCTACATCGACAACAACCTGTTCGGTCTTTACTACCATACCGGCCTAAACGAAACCACCTTCCCTACCGAACACGGCCGCAACGTTTCTAGACTCATCGCCGAAGGTCGCAAAAGCCTCAACCTTGACGACACGTTCGGTTGTGCGCCGCAAGACCTCTGGATGAGCCGCTCCCCTTACCCTAGCGACTCTAGTATATTTAGCTGGCTCGAGACGCAAGTCATCCCCGACACTATCGTCAACGAGGAGAGGAAGGACGTCCCGCGCCTAGCTATCGTCAACACGGGAGCTATTCGCTTCGACATCTTCAAGGGTGCATTTACGAAGGACTCGACATACCTCATCTCACCCTTCATCAGCAGGTTCAACTACGTTCCCGACGTGCCCTACGCCATCGCCAGCAAGGTTCTCGAGCTACTCAATAGCGGCGGCCAGGTATTCAGCGGCGCTCTCGACACCCGATACCTGACAATTCCCGAGCAAGCGGTTCCGCGCAGTCCATTCTTCGAGATGGCTTCCGCAGCGACCGACAACGAAAGCAAACTCCCGCTATTCATAGAGGAAGACGCCCCGCAGAAACCGCTATCAGGTGCCAACCGCTTGTCTAAGCAAGATGAGGGCAAAGGCGAGGGCGATGACCCCGAGTTAGTAGGCGGCTACACGACGCGCGACGACCTAGGCGACGACGGAGACGACGCCATACACTCGCCTATCAAGTTCTACGCCGTGCCCAACTGCATCCAATCCAAGATCTCGTTCCCCACCCCCAGCAACGACACAACACCTGCCCCGGACCCCGAAACCGTAGACCTAGTCTTCATCGACTACGTCCAGCCGTGGGTTATCACCGCGCTTAAATTCAGCGGTGGTGATTATAGCATTGACGATGTTAAGGTGTACTCGAATAGCACGCTGACGGACCTTATTGCGGGCTGGGTGAAGGAGCATTGGGAGAAGAATTGTTAAGAGTGATCATTGATGTGGGAATGATATGATATGATATGATACGGCTTTGGTTTTCGCTTTGGTTTTCAGATTGTGTACTTATTGCTTCTTTAACTACCTAGGTAGACATGGCTAGGTTTCGGGTTTATATGTTTGGATCGAATAGTTCGCTACATAGCTGCGACTTTCAACGGAAATAAATACAATAAATGAACAATATCAAGGCTTGGGAACGAATCGAGGTTGCTCCTGTGGTAAAACGCAAGTAGAGTAATTTATTTAACGTACCCTAATTAGTAGGAAGAGTAAGTACCTAAGGTAGGTAGGCAATCCACTACCAAGCAAGTAACTATAGAATGATCTTCAAGCCTACTCTACATAACGCTGGCTATGACATGATATTCCTCTAAAACAAAAACCGCTTTTTTGCAAAATCTAATAATCCCCTAAACCCAATAGCACATGCCTCCAGAGGTACTTCATCACTAGTACAATTCCTCCACCGTCCCGCAACAGACCATACAAGGCAACCCACCCGAGGAAGGAAGTAGAGCTGTGGTTGTTGAGCTGATTAAACAAATGTTAAGATCGAGAGGTGTTAAGGACCGACCAAAGAACAAGGGAGCTAACGAGGCTGAGCACGGGGATAGAGATGAATCCAATCCTCTCGGTGAGAGGCAGGCCGCGGAACCATCTCCTGAAGTCTCTCGCCAGCATTCCCAACCACCGCCGGATAGATCGCCTGCGGGGTGCTACTACTGCGCCCTGCTCGACATCAGGGGGCGCTGGTGGTATACCACCTTGCTCGACATTAGGGGGCTGGTTTACATCAGGAACTGGCGGCTGGTTTGCGACAGCTTCCTGTACCGGCTGGTTTGCGACACTTTCCTGTATCGGCTGGTATCCCGGCGGGTTCTCGGGCCTGGGCGGCCGTTGTAGTGCTGCCACCAGAGCAAGATCTAAATCATGCTCGAAAGAAGATATCTCATGGGTAGCAGGTGTCCAGTCCGAAGGTGATAATCTGTTATCAGCTACGCGCTCGCCTTGCGGTTGCTGCGGAAACGTAGATGTATGGGTACTAGTTGAGGGTCCTTCCTCGCGCGAATTAGAAGTGTGAGCTTCGCCGCCATTAACCAAACTCTCGGCAGATCCTGATGATCCTGATGAAAAGCCGTTGGATGGTTGATGTTGACCATTCGCTACCGGATTAGTAGTGGATTCTCCAGTAGGACTAGAGGCTCTAGTAGGAACTGGGGTTCTCGTAGGAGGAAAGGATACCCCATAAGACCACGATATAGGATCAGCAGTGGGTTCTCCGGTGGGACTAGGGGCTCTAGTAGGAACTGGGGTTCTCGTAGGAGGAAAGGATACCTCATAAAGCCCCGATATAGGATCAGCAGTGGGTTCTCCGGTGGGACTAGGGGCTCTAGTAGGAACTGGGGTTCTCGTAGGGCTTGTATTCTCTGCATTACTAACAGATGTCGAAGGGGATGTCGAAGGGGATGACGCTTCCGTAACAACCAGAGTCGGTATCGACACATTCCCATTCACCTGCCCATTCACCTGCCCATTCATCGTGAGTAAATCATTGGGGACGCTGAAGGCAGGGCATGCAACGGGAATGTTTCTCTTTCCGTTATTATTACTGCCTTGACGAACGGCAGTGAGGGTTTCAGTCGTAGAACGTGCGGTTTCGATATCGGACCATCGGATATGACCACTAGATGCTCGAGTAGAAATACCAACACTTTTCCCCACGCCCTCTCCAACGGCTAAGACAGTACTGCCAGTACGACCTTTTATATTAGCTTGAATACCATCAGTAGACACATTGGAGTCACTGATGACAGAGGCGTAATTATGGACATTGTTATTGGATGGGGTGATCTGAGTCGCAGCGTCAGTGGTGGTGATAAAGAGTGCGTAAACTTTACGAATAACTGTCTTCGTCAACCCGTAGAACGAGATATCCCTTGATTGTCCGCGGGCATTACTTATCCACCGACCCAGAATGTTTATAAGCCTATTATCTTCCGCATGGATAGTATAGCTTGACGCTCCACCTGCAAACACGACCGTCTCTGCAGACGAAAGCGAGTCTGGTCTATCGCTGCTGTGGCACGATTCACTGTTAGCTTAGGGGACGACTACGATGACTTTGGGGACGGGACAGGACGAACAGCGAGGATGAGGGCGAATCGATAAATTCAAAGCGGTTTCCCCGTTCGCTGTATCGGTATAGAGATGCCTCTGGCCTATGATATTCGCTTGGTTCGTGTTCTCTCGTATACTTGCTCAAAAACCTCACCACCCCAAGAGGAATTTGTCCAGCTAGCAACTCCCGAAGCCGTAACCAAACCAGCGTTAGGCCCAGTGGGTGTCGTGCAGTAGTCGATTGACCCCGGAGTTGTTCATGATACCGAGTCTGCTGCTCAACCGTAGCTGAAGTTCCGACCCCTGCGATCATATTTTGTCGGTTGCGAAGATGCCGAGCCCATCGCTCTTCCATAGATAGACCATTGAAAGCATGGTGGGGAGAGGGTGGAGGAGCGGGTGGCAGCGAGAAAGACATGGTGCGCCCGATTTGCCCTCGAGTACGCCAATGGCTATGCTATTTTACTTGCGATGTAATACCTTGACTGATTGGGTATATATAGGGGTATTTGATATATTAACGAATGAAATGTGAAATGCTGGAAGCCGTAACGAAAGACCCAAGAAAGATGCCAAAATGTGGTTGACGATGCTCTCCCTCCGATGCCTCTTCAATCTGAACCCGGAGAAGTTGTTCGAACAAACGAACAAACATAGCAAGAAGAAATGGGCAAGTACCCAGGTAGGTTTACCTATTGGATCTGGTCGAGTAGCTTTCGCCTTCTCCTTTCTATGAGCTCTTGTTGCACCTCCTCTAGCGTGGGCAACTCCCAGCCTTTACCATCTCCCACGTCACCAGGTAGCGGCTCCCATCCTGGAGGAGGTTCTGCCTTCCCTCGCTTTAAAAGCTCCTCAAACGCCTCGCGCTCCTTCTCGGCCTCATATTCAAGTAATGCATCGTCTTCTTCGTCAGGTGCATACCCGTAATATTTGGCGTCAACCGCTTTCCTTAGGTCCTCGCGAGACTCTAATGGTTTCTCCGAGTCTTGCAGCTTCTTCTGCGCAGCAGCTTCGAGCAGTTCTTTCACACCAGGTAATTCCTTCGCTCGCCCGAAATACCTATACCCCTTGCCTCCTCCTGGGATCTCCCTACCCATTTCATCGTAGACTTTGCCACCGCCACGCATATAATTAGGGCCTCCTAAATTCCTAATTTGTACCTCCCACATGTGTTTCTCTCGCATGAGCTTATTTATTTCGTCGTTGAGATCTCGGATCTGGTAGTCGCTAAGAGATGTCTCCTGGATTCGGGACATCTTCCGACTGATTTCCTTGAGTGTTTGACCTCTCCATTTCTCGCACGCCGGAATCGAATCTACTTCTGTGATAACTTTGGGCCGTCGTGCTCGTCCCGCGTCGATTATACCCAAATCCGCAGCTTGCGCCTCGCGGAAGCGAAAGAGCATCGACTGGGCCTTCTCTGAATTACGCGCCTGTTTAAGGGTTAATTCTGGACTTCATCGACGAGTAGAATATACAAAATCGCGTTTACTTACCATTTTGACTATTATATTCTATGCGATTAGATCTTGATATAGTCGGCCCGTAGAGAAATTGTTGGCTGCTGAGAAAAGGTTGAATTGTAAGTATTCCGTATGTATTTATTGGGCACAGATCCATGATGAGCACAGTGAAATTTCTCAGCCTCGTTTCCATTGAGGCTGATGGCCCATAATATAGTGGGTACATGATACATAGCTGCTGGTCCAACCAACCAATCATAGGGCTATATGTTAAACGCGACGCGACCTTCAACAGCTCAGCGCACAGGGCTCTTTCTTATCATTACGTATATGTACTTAATCTTGCGCTTTCAGCGTGAACGTTCTAACTTCTAACCATTTCATCTTTTTCTAATCGACATGGAAATATTGTTATATATGTCGCTTGAATTTATCGCTCCATCCAAGCCGTTGATGGATATAGTTACATTATCGGATCTTTAACTATTATCTTACTAAAGCAACCGTCTACTTCGTACATGCAGACTTATAACGGCGTCTTGCAAGTTAATTAAGCGTGCGGTGGTCATCCATACTCCATAACGGTAATCCGGTCTCGAGCATTTCATATTTGCCACTTCATCAATCTCTCATATTTGATATTTTCGCCATTTTCTCAGTCGTCTTAATGACTTGATATTCTTCTACGAAGTTTACAGGTCGATCTAAGCGGACAAGCGTCTAGCTTCGACCTACAAGCAATTCCCAACGATATCTTTACATGAATTTAGTTCATAGCCTAGCAGTGAAGAAAACCGTCACGGAGACTGTTGGAGCCGCAGGACCTTCTCTTAGGCCTACGGCGAATGACAATACTCAAGAACAGAAATCTGAGCTAGGAGATACACGCCTTTAGCACGGCATCGGCTTCCCATCTCTAGGACTACTCAGTATTTTCAGGCAATACCAGCGCGGGGGCAATGACGACAAATAGCACATGGTGAGAATGACGTACATTCGATGAAGTCCCTCATAGTTTTCAATCGGAGCCTTGCTGGGTGTCTGGAGGACTGCTTAATCTGACGATGATGAGTTAGTCTATGATCGTCCATGTTAACAGGTTCTCCTTTTTCTTTTTCTTAGCTGCAACTAGCAGCGATACAACTTAAGAATGCCCGGTGATGACCAATTCCAAAAAGCCAAATTTGCAGGCAGCCTGAACAAACTCTGCTTTCGTCGTCGTACGGAAACAGGGCGAGGGAATGGTTGTCAATGAGAACTTGAGAGCTAATCTGAGGGTATATATGTTGAACACACTATCATCTCACTGCGCGTCTCGGTATACTCGATTATTTCAAAATATTACAATCACTGAAACTGGGAAGTCCTAGTCACATGGATAGAGACGGTTGGGTTGAGCGCGGGATATAGGCGAAGGATCGTTGCTGGAGATTGACAAGAAAAAGGATATGGAATACTAGAAGGCCCATTTCTCTCCAACCCTGAGATCTATTACGAGGCAAAGGACCTATGTAGGGGAGCACGTCTAACAAAGTGTACGCTGACGGATATTTCTCTAGGGGTTTTCTAAGATCATCGTTAAGTATTATTCCGGGCCACTCGTCTATTAACCCTGAGAGAGGTTGCTAGATGTTTAACCTAATATACCGCGCTTTGACTATAGAGTTGGCCCACCACGTTCACGCCCACCCCGGTATACAATTTTCCTCCTCTCGTACAGATAAATAGCCTGCCTCATGAAGACTTTGCTCCATCTGTTTGGTTTCTGCGCGCTCCCTTTACCTTCTCCGTGCCTCGATTTGTTCGCTCTGCCGTACCATGTCATACCCCGAGTATAAGGGACCCAGTGCTAGGTATCTCTGACGATGGGCAGGGCACACCCAGAAACGGTACTCCGGGGGACTATATAAGAAGTCTTCTCCATTCCTGCCGGTGGGACTAAAGAGTCTTAGTACGGCCGTGTTGGCGACGTTAACGTTAAGAGGTGTTGAGCAATTAGAGGCTTCCCGCAAGGCTGGGCAATACATAGGGGCAATAGATTGACCGTTCGGATTTGGCCCGAGATACCGCGTCGGACAGAGCGATCCTTCGTGATTGTAGCCCCCGCGTACCGGATCCTCGGCGCCAGGTTCGACAACGGTGCAAGCTTCTGCGGCGGATCGGCCGGTTGCTATGCAGTCCCAACAGGTGTAGATGAGGGTATACGACCAGCACATTGTTTCGTTCGGCTCTCGTTGGCTTAGTTTGAAGATGATGGCTGTTATAGTTGAAGGGAACAAAAGCTGTTATAGTTGAAGGGAGCAAAAGCTGTAATAGTTGAAGGGAGCAAAATGGATGGCCGCTCGGTCGAAGAGTTAGTTTATAAATTGCTGATTATCGGTGATTAGGGCTGTATCACTATGTTGACTTTGCAGGTCGGCTAAGGTGAATTGTCATAGCATGACTTGGGACTACCAAGGGTGCAATATTAATATGTTTATGATTCAAGTAATGGTCCCATCTTACAGTCTAGCAACTACATCAATAGGTACTATTTAGATAGCATCCCCAAGAGAGGTGAGATGGCTATTGTTTCTTTCCTCACCTCGCGATGAATATATGATGATTAGCTAGCGTAAGCCGCAGCCTTGACTCTCATATGTTACCTGTGCCGTAACTATTCACTTGCCTACTACGAGTTAGATCTGGTCATCACAACAAGCAAACCGGAGAATGCCATATCCCCGGGTAGTATGATGCCAGCTATTAGAACCGGTGACGTAAAATAACCTGCCTGTCACAGCTGTGTCCACATCGAGATACGGGTTGACGAAGACGAATGATTCAAGGAGATCATAATACCCGTGCAACCGAAAATCTTACTTCACGGATATGACAGCGTGAAATTATCTAGCAACCCTTACGAGAATCGAGTTGATTCTATATTTTGACTATTAATTTAGGTACTCGCCATAAACCTCACTAGTAAAAGTCCAGATACATGTGCGTTAGAAAACCAACATCGCGTATCTATCATGAATGAACTCTTGCTAGCCGTTCGTCACTGGCAGTACTACTCGCCAGGTCTTAGAAACCCCTCCTCCAGACCAAGGGGAATCGCTCTATATGAGAACCGTTTTGTTGTGCCATGGTCATACATCCACCGTTTCGTCTCCCCTCATAGCCCTTCCAAGCCTCTGTGTAATCATAGCTCGAAGCATACATCACATGTACCGTGCCATGCCACTCGTTCCACAAGTACCACACAATTCGTCACAGGATTTGGTACCGAGCGTAATTACATCAATTGTTTTCATTTGTATCTGCTTTGGTGCCTATATATCGAAGACACCTACATCGCATCACATTGTAACATCTACTGCCTCTTCTTTTCCGAGGTAGTCGTAGGCTTGCTATACAGCCAGAGAGCGCAGAAGCCCAACCACCCAGTAACAGTGGCACTGATACCCGCAATCCAGGGCCAGGCACCGCTGATGACGTAGCTGCGGGGCCATTCGTCGTGTGCGAAGTGCCGGACCGAAACCGTGTTCTTCTCCTCGACGTTGCTGTAGAAGGGGCGCTTGTAGTTGACCTTGAAGTTGAAGATGCCGTGTTGGTCCGGCAGCTTGAATGATACCGAATATGTCGTGCTGTCCTCGGATGAGATAGTGGGGTTTAGCTGGAGGCGGTGGAAGGGGGACAGCATGCTGAATTCTAGCTGCAGGTCGTCGTTGTCGGGGACGGTGAAGGGGGTGTATTTGTCCCAGGAGTACTCGGAGAGGGAGATAGAATAGGTCTTGTGAATGTTAGTAAGTAAGGGAAAGCTGCCTTAGAGGCCTAGAAGACAACATACCACGTCATTCTTAATACGGTAGATTTTAGGGTTGCTGGCGTTACTCTGGCCAACCTCGTTTAGGTGATGCTCGATCCAGTTCACTCTTAGGACGCCAATCTCCTTGAAGGTCCAGCCCGCTACTCGCTTAGCAAATTCGCGGTTAATAGTGTTCACCTCCTTGTCCTCGCCCACCTTCTTCACCTTAGCATCGAACCACTTATCACTCAACATCTCGGCGGAGCCGATGACTGTGAAACGAGCCGAGTTGCGAGCCTGGAAGGTGCTCACAAGGGAGAGCTGGGAACCGCTTGCGAAGAGCTCATCGATGACTTCGGCTTGCTCTTTCGGATTGTAGCTGTAAGATGTGGAGGGAGCGCGCAGGATCGGCGTAAGGAGGGCACCTGAGCCGAGGGTCTGGCCTGTGCCACTTGGGAAGGCGATAACTCCTCCGTCTGTAGAGACCGGGCTGAAGAAATCCTTAACATCCGGACGAAGAAGTCCCGGGGGCGGAAGCAAGAGCACGTCGTGCTTCTCTGGGGCAGACAACACATCGTAGTTGAAATGGTCGACAACGAGACCCTGTCGGTCGGAAGGTAGGTGAATATCTAATTCGAGAAGTAGAGATACGATGGATGTCGGGGCTGGTTGAGAAGCTGAGAGAGCTAGGAGGATGTTGCCGTTGGCATTGATGAAATCGAGTAGGATCTTGGGTGTTAAGTTTGGGCCGAGTCCTTTTCGCTCTGTCAGTCATCTTGCTTAAAAACTCTAATCCATGGTTGCTATGCAACAAGTATACCTTTTGACTTGGTCGGAAGGAATAGAACATGGTCGTAAGACTTCTCGCCTAGGTGGAATAAGCTTAGACCTTCGCTCTTGGGAGTTTCGTAGTTGATCTGAAATCCTCGGCCTATTATAATATTATGTTAGTTATTCCGTAGTATGGAACAATAATAGTTATGAAATAGTTATGAAGTATTCGCTTTGACTATTAGCTTTACTCACCCTCTAAATCACCTAGGAACTTAGAGTATCCCTCCTTCTCAGCGACATCCTCGAGGAGGACCAGCAACCTATCCCCGCTAGAGCTGATCGCATGGACGAGGGCGACAAAGAAGAGGACGACGAAGGATATTAACGACTTCATCTCGGCGGTATCTCAGCGATCAATTGGCTTCAAGGAGAACAGGAGAGGGGGAAGAAAAGGGGTGCGACAGCAGAAATATGGCTGCGCATGGGACCTATATCCGTAGTATTCGTAATATGTTTGGTTTTACGTTTTAGAAGTTTTTGGATCGGACCAGCTGTCTCCAAATCGTCCTACGTCGCTGCCGGAATTTTGGAGGTCTGGTATACGTAGCCCGTACCTGCCAAGCTCCAAATGTACATGGGTCTACGATTACGTCGCCTTATCCACAGCACCGGCAGAGCACACTCCGATTTTCCGAATAACGTCTTTATTAAATCTAGTAGGTACCTAGGTAGGTACATTGCAGATACATCCATATACATAGGTACCTCATAGGTAAGCATTTTATTGTTCTTGCTCACGTTTGCGTTCATTAGCAATTCCTAGAATCTTAAAAATCAACTTCACTTTGTGACTAAATTTCTATTCTAAAAACAATAACTACCTACCTAATGTAGAATCGTAGATACGTTTTCTTAAAATGGAGGCCGGCCCCTCGCGCAAACGCTTGCGGCGAAGTACACGAAGTTGCTATCAATGTACGTACGCGTACGCATACGCATAACCGCCTCGAATTATATCTGACCCTCGTAATAATAAGTTGACATATTATACCAGGTAGAAAGCGTAAAGTAAAGTGTCAGCTCATCGATGAGAAGGTCGATACTTGTGCTGAATGCGTCAAGAGCGGGACGCAGTGTGCTATTCAACCGCCTGAGACGGAGTTGAGCAGCGAAGGCTCTCCTATTTACGTTGATAAGGAGGGACAAGAAGCAAGACTAGAACGTATCGAATCTCTCTTGAAAAGGTTGGTTGAGGCTCAAGAACAATCTCGGCCGGCCGAAGCTTCATTAGAATGCGAATCTATAGCTCCAGTATCTATCTGGAACGATTTTGTAAGTTTTATCTAGCAGTTTTCAATTGAAAGGTCCAAATCCTTAGACGACGTCAGTTGCTTCAATCAACGGCCGACGGAACTCTTCCTCCCGTCGACGATAATATCCTTCCAATTCATCAGTCAGAAAACACGTCAGATGAGAAGCAGCCGCTTGTAGCCCTTCTACCATCTGCACAGGATGCAGTTACTATAGTTACAAACAGTACTGCTTGGCTGTGGGGAGCAGAAACGCCCCTTGGGAGTGTCCTTAGGCCAAACGATACGCTCCAGCTCTTAGATGTAGCTGCTATTTCGAGCGGCAGCACCATACATATTGCCAAAATACTGCTCTTATTCGCGCTATATATGCAACAACTCCCGTCACATTTTGACGTGCAATTCATAGGATCCGAAAGCATCGAAAAGACTATTGAATTGATTGTAGACCGAGTCAGGTTATTCGTCCTATCCCACGAAGATGAAGCTTCTTCGTTAGACGGTATAGAGTGCTTAACTCTACTAAGCTCGATTTATCTTAACGATGGCGCAATTCGAAAAGCGTGGATGATCTTCAGAAGAGTTCTCGATATTGCCAGATTAAAGGGGTTTCAAAACAGTTTCTCCCTTTCCGCTCGCAGCTCACCCCGTAGCGATATAGCCCTTCAACGGCGACTATGGCTCTCGACCGTCTGCGGTGATTGCTACTGTAGTCTTCTCCTCGGTCTTGAGCCTGGACTTGGTATTGCACCCTTTGGTCCTGACGACGATACCTGGATGGATCCGCTTGCTGATGAAGACGCCAACGTCCAACGCCGTATTTGCCTAATTGTGTCGCGTATTGCGCAGAGGAATGCCGTTGGTTTTGGTAGAGACCGTAGTATCCTTCGGGAAATAGACGAGGCATTGAATAGATTACAAGACTCGATGCCTGCTTCTTGGTGGAGAGCCCCGTCGTTCCGTCAAGATCGATCTCTTGATTCAGCCAAGGAGCCAAACCGCCTTATATGCCAACTGTGGTTTTATCAAGCACGAGTATTTGCACACTTACCTATCGCGTTTGGGAAAGCTACGAATGACTCACTGGATAGCCTCGAAAGCTGTATAGAGGCGTCTAGGTTTACAATCCATCGATATCTTGGATTGCAGCACGTAAAAGATCAACTATCTCGTTGTAGAGCCGTCGAGCAATCAGCCTTCCTTGCCGCGGTGATTCTTCTCCTCGCCAAATTGCAGCTCCAGTATCACGAAAAGTGTTCGACGGCCTCTAGATACGACTCAGACCGGGCTCTGCTTGACCAAGTCATCAGCTCTTTCGAAGCCTCTGGAGAAGTAGGCAGTAGAGAACATGTAGCAAGGCAAAGCTACGAGATCCTTTCCACCATGTTGGATATTATTAGTAGCTCGGAGGATACCCTATTCGTGACGAGTACCTCTGCTCCCAATACTCCCTCAACACTTGGATCATCTTTCGATCCTGACATGGTTGGGAATACTAAGGACACTTCCAGTGCGACTAAGTCTAGGATGGAAGATATAATTGCGTCTTCGATCCAGCCAGCGCTTGGTGTCGAAAGCCCAGCCTCGCAGCTGATTAAGCTGTTATTTACAAAGTCTAGCATGGCAAAACCCCCTCAACAGCCATCACATATAACACTTGCCATTGATGGTTTAATAGACCCGACTATCCTTCAACGAGACACTTCATAGAAATTGCAGTATCGACATAGTCATTTTTCCACAGAGCAGCTAAATTTACCCTTCAACTATGCCGCTATCTCAAAGGTATAAAACTAAGAATAACCACAACAATTATACAAATCTTCAAATCCCATCGATATCTATTGAGGTTTGGAATTATTTTCCCGTGATTCCAAAACTTCCAATAACTCCCTCCCTTTTCTCGCTATACGCATATTTTCGATGCTAGACTCTTCTCCTCGACCATCGATAGCAAGATACGTCGTAAATGCAGCCAGCACTTCAACTCGGACGCTCAAATGTTCGCCTAGCACCCCAGCGATCACGCCAGGGACCATCATTCCCTTAGTTACAACTGCTCCGGGCCTAACCATGAAAGTCTTCCATATAGTAGGATGGCTCTCTGCGAATGCGAGGGTTTTAGTCTCGAGCCGGCCCTACAAAAGAGTCAGATATGGGAAAATCTTGAGAGGTTGGGTTATACATACCTTCATCTTGCGCGCTTCTTCTAGGAAGCATAACCTCTCTTCTTGGTTCTGACGGACGAATTTACCGCTTAGATGGACGTATTTAAAAGGGGGTCTATCCGGTTTCGTTTCCAGCACTCGTCCCATGCTTTCTACGAAGGCCAGGGGATACTCCAAGTCAGGGAGTATGTTTCCCGTATTGGTTCCCATATTCCTATAGGCATCGCGTAAGTGAGTAATTCTTGTGTGTTCGCTCTTTACGCTAAACTTACCAAAGCATACCCACAGCATCCGAGTGCGCCTGTAATATGTCTTCTGGCCATTTTAAGAAGTCTTTGATTATAACACATTTGAGCTTCGGATGGCTAGAGACGCCGGCTGGTAGGTCCCGACGTACGAAGGCGATTACGCTCGAGATGTGTGGGTGGGCGAGGCAGTGAAGGAGGACTTCACCTCCAATGGATCCACTCGCGCCGACAACGAGGATCTTCATAATGGTGAAAAGACTAAGGTCGATAGTGAGGAGAAGGGAAACTAGCAGATGAAAGGATGTATCTAGTAAGTGAGATTTAGAGATTTACGCATACATACAGCGAGAATATATATGATGATAGCTGTCGCCCGAGTCGGCCGAGAAGGATGAGACCATTGTCATTTATCACCACTGGAACTAGTAAAACTTGGGACGGGCTAGAATGACTCTTAGTAATTTTATGGCCTTAGGAATAGCAGATACTTGTTTCGAAGTCCTCGTATTACAATGTTGGGTAGATTAGTTCGATATCGAATCAGTTCAAGTATTAGACATGTTGTCTAAACTTTACAAGGTACATACAACTCTAGATTATTAACCTAGGTATTTATATACAAGTAGTAACTAATAACCTTATATATTTTAATATAATATTTTAAGTTATGTAAGACGTATTTGCTTAAATAATATTTATATGTATGTTTAAAAAGTTATAATAAATAATACGTATTTTATTATAATAATAAAATAATTATATAAATATAAAAATCTTTACAATTTTAAATATATATATAATTTTAATATAAATATTATTATAATTTTAAATTTTTTTATAATAATATTTTATCGTTTTTAATAAAATATTAAATTAATTAATAATTATAAACATTTTTAAATTTATTAATAAAATTAATAAATAATTGTTTTAAAAAATTAATAAAAAAAGATAATAAGATATTTATAAAATTAAATTAAAGAATAAAAGGAATTATTTAATTATTTTATAATAAAGTAATTAAAATTATATTAAAAATTTAAAAAAAAAGATAAATAATTTTATAAATTTTATAAAATAAATAAAAATAATAATAAATTAAACGGTAATTAATTGGTTATTTAATTTATTTTTTAATAATTTAAAATTAAAAATATAATAAAAATATTATAATAAATAAATAATATTTATTAATAAATATAATAATATAATAAAAATTAAATAAATATTTTTTAAAATAAATTAATTAAAATTATAATTAAATAAAATAACATTTTAAATATATAAAATTATTAATAATTAATTAAATAATTTACGTTAAATATATATTTAATAAATAAATTAAGAAATTTTAATTTAATATAATTTATAAAAATATAAAAATAAAAAAATTTATTAAATTTTTAAATATTTATATTATTTTTATTAAAACTATTAAAATTTAATAAATTAAATTTTATAAATAATAAAAAATTAATTAAATTTTAAATTAAAAAAAAAAACGTTTTAATAATAACGTTAATTAAATAATAAAATAAAAAATTAAAAAAAAAATTTATTAAAATTATTTTTAATAATTTAATTATTTTAAATAATAATTTAAATTTATTAAATTTATTAAATTTATTAAATTTATTAAATTTATTAAATTTAAATTTATTATTAAATTTATTAATAAAATTATTAACGTTTAAAAAATTATTAAAATTTATAAAATTATTAAATTTAAATAAAAAATTTAAAAAAAAATAAATAATGTTAATATTTATTTTAAATATTATAATATTAAAATAAAAACATTTTAATTTTAATATTAATAAAAAAAATTATTTAAAAAGTTAATTTAATTAATAAATATATAAAAAAATTTTTATATTAATGTTTAAAAAAATTAAATATATTAAAAAAGTAAAAATTATATTAATAAATAATTTAAAGATATTTAAAATTATTATTAAAATTTATAAACGGAATTTTTTTAATTTAATTTTTAATATAAAAAAAAGTATAAAAATATTAAAATTATTAAATTAAACTTATATTTTAATAAATAAAATACGTTAAAAAAAACTTTAAAAAAAATTTATTAATAAAAAATATAATAGTAAAAACTTAATTTAATATAATTTTAAATAATATTAAATTATTTAAATAATTTAAAAATTAAATATAAAATTA